CATGGCCAAGAGCTTACGCATCGTTTGTGGCATACGTTGCCGAGTAGGCAAAACAAGCTGGCATCGTAGGTTCAACTTTCGGGTGGCAAAGTACTTGGCCAAGAACGGCTGGGCCAAGTTTGCCCAGTGGAAGGGGCCTCAGTGGTTTCGGCAAGCTTTTGGCTATCTGGCACGAATAGCCTGCTTCTTGGGATGGCGATCCCGCGCCAAGAATAATGGCCGAAGATGAACCACGCATACACATACACACCATCGATTTGTGCAAAGCGCCCCTTGCATCCAAAAGCAGAACATAATGTAGAGCGTGTTGTTTGCACCCTGAGGTATGACTACATGAGCTGGTATCCAATTGGGCGGCCCATTGGTACCACGACTTATCCTGGCATGCAGTTTCTTGGCCGCAATCACAAGGGCCCAAGAGCATGCATGACAGCAAATGGCTTGAATATGACGTGGGCGTGTCGCTTGTGCCATGGCGACACAAGCGCAGCCAAGCGTGACCGCCGGCAGTTCAACAGAATCTGGCTGAGCCAAAGCTTCCGCTGTGTGCCAAACCCCTGTACCCCTGATGAATCAAAAATAGGTGGCACATGGGTGTTCATCCGCCCCAAAATGGAGGCATAGTTTATGACCCATGGCCATGTGTGCCCTATCCCTCCCTGATGCGTTCCAAGACTTTGCTGTGAGCCTGCACGGGCGCCGCATCACTGCCAGCTGCGAGGGTTGTTGTGATGGAGCACTTGCACAGGTTTGCGAGCATTTGGATTTGGCGAGTGCGGACCTCAGGGAGGAAAAGCGGTTTAATCACTCCTAAACTTAGTCCTGAGTCGCTTCCACAATAGAGTTTTGAACGCAAGCATGCAAATCTTGAGACAACCCGTGGCGCGCTGGGGGGGGGGGGGGGCGGCTGGGGCGGGGAATTCAAGTGGCCGCGCCTTGGCAATTTTAGGCAATGAAGTTCCTTCCCAAGGACAGCCGGCTGATTGACGTGGTTTCGTGCAGCATGACGGCCTCACCAAAACCAAAACCAGGGTGGTTGCAGGAACAGACCGTTTCCGGGTGGTTGCATTTGGTTTTTTTCTCGGGGAGAATGTTGGAGAAAGAGAGAGCGAGAGAGATGGAGGGCCCGGGGGGGGGGATCGGGGATCCATTCCCCTCCCCCGAGGCTCCGTACTTCAGAATGTCCATTCACAGCAGCGCGAGCGAGCGTGCGAGCGAGCGAGAGCAAAGCTGAAGAGCTGAAGCATGTGGCATGCAGACGGAGTGGGAGCTGCCGGGCCTGGAGAGTTTGCCAAAGGGCTGAGGCCTCGGCATGTGCTTCTCAGATTTTGTTGCCTCCGGGACTCCGAATGGAGAAACCTAGGCTGGAAGACATACCTACCTGGTCATGGTAAGCTGTCGGCTGCGGGCTCCAGATAGATTCATAAGGCTGTTTGAATTGATTGCCACGTCTCATTGAACTGGGATTTGGAAAGCCGAGTTCTCGCCTGTGAATCTCAACGATGCGTGCGCTGCATGGCTGCAAGATTATATATGTATATATATATATATATATGTCTTTCTTTCTTTCTTTCTTTCTTTCTTTCTGTCTGTCTGTCTGTCTGTCTGTCTGTCTTTCTTTCTTTCTTTCTTTCTTTCTTTCTTCTTTTGTGTTGTTTGTTTTTCCTTTTGTTCCTCTTTCTTTCTCTCTCTCTCTCTCTCTCTACGACCCAGCAGTTCTAGCCTCTCTCATCTTGTTAGACACCCAACTGGCTGCGTGCGTCACAGCCACCCGCTACTCACGAGAACAGGTTTGAACTGCTCAGGTGCTCACACCCGCGTGGTTTGGCTCAAGCCTCAGCAAGTTTGAAGCAACAAGTCTGTATGGCAAAGGGCATGACATATGTGCTGTCTGAGGTGGCATCGCTACGCTCTTTGTGGTACTTCTTACCATCGAGGCGCTTGCTGCATGAATTCGGCATCGCCTGACAGTCTTTACATACAGCAGCCTACAGACCCACACGTGGCCTGCCGGGAACGCACTCATGACTCCCACTACGTTACGGCTCTTCAACCCTGCCTACATAGAACCTGTCACTACAGGGGCAGCATCTGGAAGGAGAGAGAAGTAGAAACAAGTCGAAACTATTTGCTTCCCCTCCTCTTCCTCTACTCCATACGCTGATCTGGGGGACGTGTCCCCCTGTATTTAATTTGTTGTCATCGCTGAATGCCACGCGGCCTTCCGCAAGGCTTCGGAGTCCACCTCCGCCGGTGTGGTGGCTGGCTTGGCCGAAGCCTCGGAGCCGTTCGAGCGCCTCAGGCTCGGCGTGGTTTGCTGTGCTTTGGCCCTGTTCCCTTGACTGCTAGTGGGTTGGATCTTTAGGAAATCAAGGGGTTTTCCACTAAACCCCCCCAAAAGTTGAACTTTTTTGCAGGGGGGTTAACAGCAACCAAGTGCCCTTGGGATGGTCCATGTTTCCACAACTTGGGGCCTTGAAGGCAAACATGAAATTGGACTCTCCCAAGCCAGGCCACAAGCAAACGAAGCGGGGATGCGAGGCAGCCAACCCCTCCCTCCAAGATGAATCCGGGAGCGAGGCAACCAACCTCTCCCTCCCCCAAGCGGTTGAAGCGGAAGCCGTGCCAGTAAACTGTTTCTTGTGTGTGGCAGGGCATCCTGCGTGTCATGGGGTTAGACCTCCAGTTCCTTGTGGCCAGCCAAAGCAGGGAGAGTATTGAGGAAGTAGCGCTGGATGCGCGCACAGGTCATGGCAATCATCCCAGCTCACATGATGCGATCCAGCGCCGGGGAGTACGACAACGAAGCTGTGGCCGCGAGAGGCTTACTTTGACCAGCGCACCCAGCTCCGTGCTTCAGACTCTGCATGGAGACGCAGACTGACTGTACAGGTCGCTTGCTTTTGTGCCACCTTCTGGCTGCTGAGCCCTCAGACTGAGCTGAGCCCGCATGGAATCTGAGCAGCGCTGGAACACCATTCTCACGGACGTGGCTCCTATTGTTGACTTTTGGGGGGGTTCATGGCCAACAAGTTTACCCAACCCAAGCCACCCCAACCCAACCACCCAAACCAACCCAACAGAACCCGACCCAAACCCAGCCCAACCCAACATCGGAAAGGGCAGGACGAAGCATTTCTCTTGGTGACCTTATTGACCTTCTTGAAGTGCCAGTCGTCCACAGACCAGCCCGCACAGTTCTACCAAACATCCTTGGACACCACGATGATTACCTTGCCACATCCTTTCTTTGGAGTGGAGCAATGAAGAGCTCGGCGCCACGATTCATAAGATCTGCAGCTGAGAACCTGCGCGAGAAAATTTCGACGCACCGTTTTTCCATCGGCTGGTGGACTTGAGCCAAGAAGGCCAGGCCTTGTGAAGGCATGGCAACTCACCGTGTCGTTCGTGGAGTTTATGCAGGAGATGCGACCGAGCATGTCAAGCAGTGAGTAATGAACGCAAGTTTCATTCTTTCAGTGCTATGGTCCTGGGCCAGGCCAGCGCTTGTTTTCAAGACAGTCGTGGCAGAAGGCTGCCTGCTGTCAAGCCAGCTAGGCAGCGCTCCTCAGTGAGCTGCGGATTGCCATAGCAGCCCGCAGACTCTGGTCGCAACCCAGCCCAACCCACCAGCCCAACCGCCAACCCAACCCGCCAACCCAACTCAACGCAGCCCAGCCCAATATAGGGCGAAATGATGACTGTACTGTTTTTGCAGAGCAACGCAGGGCTCTTCGCCACGACTCACGAGATCTGGATGGCTGAAAGCGCCGGCTCAGCATCGTTAGGCTTGTCTGCTCGCAGGCAGTGATGGTCGGGTGGGGCAGCGCTGGGCCTTGCCCAAGAGACTGGACCAAGAGTGGATGCAGGGCTGGGCCAGTCGTTGGATTTGGGTGTGGGCCAGGAACATGCGGGGTGGATGGGATGCAGATCGCTTCAGAGGGACTGGACAAACTGGAGCGGCTGGAGCATGGATTTGGGTGTAGGGGTCCAGTTGAGCTGCTGCCAGCTGCCAGCCAGCAAATCCAGGCCCCAGCTCTGTTTCCCGTCGTGTTGTGGACCTAGTCGTTGGTGGAGCCGTCTTGCTTTTAACAAACTGCCGGCTGCCAAAGGAGCCAGGAACTATGAGGCAGCGGATTGCCATAGCCGCAGATTTTGGAAAGGGCGCGAATCCCCGCCACAGCCCAGTCTAACCCAGCCCAACCCAACCCAGCAGCCCAGCCCAACCGTGCCCAACCCAACCCAGCCCAACCCCTCACCTCCACAAACCAACCAAACCAACCCCGCAACGAACCCAAACCCAAACACCCAGCAACCAACCCCACCTCAACCAACCTTACCCCGCCAACCAACCCAACCCAACAGCCAACCCAACCCAACAACCAAGCCAAACCAACCGCCAACGTAATCCAACAGCCAACTCAAACCAATAACCAGCCCAACACCCCCAACCCAACACACAACCACCCACTCCAACACCCCACCCAACACACAACCCAAAACCAAGCTCGACTGCCCACCAAGCCAACCTTCCTGTCCCACCCTCGCAGAAGATCGGGGCTCTCAGGTGGTGCCGCTCCGTCAGGACCTCTCGCTCCTGGCCCTGGGCGCTTCTGGCCGGTGCCACTCTGAGAGCGACACCCACGTGGCTCCGGGTCGGGTCGGCTTGTGCCAAACCTGCCCAGTTGGGCTTCCCAGGTTTTGGTACTTATGTTCAGTTGGCGCGTGACCTCGCAGAGGCTTTGCTTGAAGTTATGCCGGGCCCTTGTTGACGGAACTCCTTGAGGCGGTCCTTACCCGCCAGGCTCCCCACACCATTCTAAGGAGGGCCCTTGGGCCTTGGGGCTCCCGCCCAGGGCGGCTCAATGCCTGCCCAAGGTTTTAAATCAGAAAAGTCGCCCTGCTTTCGAGCTCTCCATTCGGAGGGATTCTGCGCCTGGGTCAGAGCCATGCTTGCAGCTGGCCACGGAGGCTTGGCATACTTCACCGCAGCGTGCCGCCCTAAGCTCCAAGCTGTGAGAGTTTCTTGGACGTGAATTTTGAGCGAGCAGGGCGACCTGGGGCGGATACATTTTCGTCAACAACATGATAGGCACGCCCTTGGCACTGCATGTGAAGTTGTCAAGGGCTTGCCTGCTGCTTGCTTGGCAGGTCTGCATGCTGCTGTGCTGGTGGCACTGGGTAAGTACAACTCGGGATTGTACAGAGTGCTCCACTTAGACACCTTGTAGTGACACCACCTGCCAATTTTGCCGATGCCCGTGCGTCGGCAGCTTCCACACCGTGTAAGGTAGGCGGTTTCAATCTAGTCCCCGTGGACACAAGCTGCAGGGTTTCATTTGGATGGGTTCAACTTCAGGGGTTCGGCCCTACCTTTGAACTTGGATCAATGGTGTCACTCTGCATGAATTGGCAAAAGCACTGAGTACCCACGCACAAGGCCTACACGCTTTGGTACGTTGTGGGCACTTCACTGGCCACGCAAAAGGCTTAGATGCCACCGTCTTTGCATCCTGTTTGCTTGGAGATTGTCTGCACGCTATTTCCCTTTAAGGTTTATTCCGGTCATCGGTTGGACTCCACTCCGGGCCACTGAGCAGACTCGACCTCGGATAAATTGGCTGGCGCGCCAGGTGCAACTGCAGCTTTTCACCAAGTTATGTGTGAGAAACCCCTTGTGGTTTCCTTCAAAGAGCTTCTCAATCTTGGCCTCGACTTCTTTTTGACATGACTCTCATGTGGCATTCTCGCAGCCTCAGGATGCCTTCCCTACTCGTCTTCATCGTGTTCCAGCTGCTCCGCGCTTAGACCCTCACGGAAAGACTCCCTCCTGAAACAAGGACCGTTTTGTGCGTGCAACAGTCGAACTTAGGCTGGAGGCTTGCGACCTGATTCGGCGTCGCATGCCCCGCAAGCGCCACAGCCGGCACAGCCTGGCTTAAACTCAGTTGTTCAAAGCCGACCTTTTGACCTTTTGGTTGTCCCATCTTGGTCCATATTATGTCGTCAAGGTCCCAAAATGTTAAGCTTTTGCTTTTAATTCTGGGTCCCTGTGGGGCAAATGAGTAAACAGACATCCGTGATCCACAAAGGTCTTGAGCACCCCTGGAAGTTCTTCGCCTTCCGCACGGCTGCGGCCTCGCCTTTTTTTGGTTGTCGAAGGGCCATGCCGGGCTGGCCAGGCCGTGTTCACCTCCGCCGTTTTGGCGGGAGCTGCAGTTTGCTGGACACTGTATAGGCAGGTGGCCTTTGTCGCCAGGGCTCCAGAATCTGATGTTTGATTGTGGATGAGGGTTCTAGAGTTCCCCTGTTGCCATGGAACCCACCCTTTCAAAGGAGAATGATGGAACATGGTCTTCCACCCCGAAACGTCTCCATGTTAGTGGACGGGGTCGCTTGCTTGCTTTCTCTGACCAGTTTGGGCCACTTCGCACCCCTGGGTGCCGGAGCCTTACGAGTCGAGAGATCGGGTCTCCTCGGCGAAGCCCGGCAGTCCATGCGCGTTGAGGCCCGCATCCGCGGGCTGTTCCTGAAGCACAAGAAAACCGGGAATCCATTGGCCAGCGGCCCATGCTTGAGGGGTCTGCTTTTTTGCCACGCGCAGAAAACTTGCGGAGTCAAGTTGAGTTCGTGGCCGCAGAAAAGACTGCGGCTTTTTTGGGCAACTGTTCTCCCCACTTTCAAAGAGTCCGGAACATTGTGTCTGTGTATGTGAACTTTGGCAGGGCTCCTTAAAAGATACATGTTGCCCATTTGAAACATTGCTTTTTCCACCAAAATAAAGGGAAACAACCATTAGGTGTATAATGTAAGGATCCCTGTTTGGGCCGGATGTGTGTGTGTGTGTGGATTGTGTGGGAGATCAGGTGGACTCAGTGGCCGAGCATTCGGCCACCAGCGCTCAAGCATATGAGCGGCGCTCTCGGAGACCGGAGTCCGAAATCTGAGCGGCTAGAGTCCTAGCCATTTTCCCTGGGAACATCTTCAGAGGTGGACACATGTAAGCAATGTCGCCAGTGTCCCCAATCAAGTTTCAACATGCCCTGCTTGCTGATCAGATTCTTAGCCAAAGCAGGCCAGACATGCATTGTCTTTTTTCCCCTCAGGCAGTATCTCGGCGATGCGCGATGGGTGGCCACCTTAACCAACGCCTGGCTCAAGTCCGGTGGGGGCTTTGGCAGGTGGCAGCCGTTGGCATGCTTTTCTGTGGATGGCTCAGTTGGAGCTGCGCGTGAGCCTTTGGATATCTTTGGGTGCTGAATGAGGATCTTTCTTTTGGGGATGGATTCTGAGTTTGTGCGGCAACACAGGCTGGCATCAACGCACACCTGCAAAGTTCTTCCCAGCGCGGCCGGCTTCGTTTGCAGCATTCCGCTTCCACGGGAAGAAGGAAACAGAACAGGAGAACAAAGCAGTTCGTAGGGGTCAGCTTGCAGCAATTAGAAGCATGTGGGCGGGAATGCAGACAGCATCGCATGATGTGTTGGTTCTTGATTCATGACAACTGTTTGCCGGCGATGCCAGGTGATTTATGCGATCGTTGCTTACCATTTTTCTGGCAAAATGATGATGCCTCAGAGGCTGCTGCCATCACAAAGCCACAAAACAGCAGTCAAGGTGGGCGAGGGGGCTCGACAAATGCTCAGGTCCAGACTGATGATCATTTGCGGGCCCATTGTGCCGCCAGCCTCAGCTTCGAGATTTGACAGCCAGTGCTTGTGAACAGGTCCGCGTGGGGGGGCCCTTTTATGCGAGGTCAATGCTGGCCGGGTACCCCATCGGAATCGTAGTGGACTGGCCTGGGGCTCACATGCGGAGCTCCCTCTTGTTGTAAGAAGTGGTTCCAGTGTCATTTTTCAATTCTCAGGTGCATGCAGCAATTCCTGGACGCGTTGTGCCCCACGTTCGGTGCCCAGCTGGCAGGTCTCGTCCCAAGCTTCCAAGCCTCGGCGATTTCGGGCCATGAGGCCACAAGTCCCAGCAGAGAAGGTGGTGCGATCTGGAGGCCCAAGGGTTCAGGGCTTGGAGGAAGTGAGAAGGTTCCAACCCCGCCCAAGAATTCACATGGGGAAGAGGGAAGAAAAGAACAGAACCGAGCAGCAAAAGAAAAGGAAGTGAGAGATAGAGAGAGAGAGAGAGAGAAAGAGAGTGACTGAGAGAGGAAGAAGCAGAGAAAGAGATACAGCAGAACACAACCTCCCAATGGCGACATGTTCTTTCGGGATCCCTCGAATTTTTGGTCATCGGAGCTGTCAGGCATGGGCTCCATCTACCGCTTCCTGTGGAAGGGTTTCGAGCCGCTGGCATCCCCTTCCGAGGTGCTTGGGGAGAATTTGTGGAACGATATTTATGTTTTCCCAGAATTTTGAGCATAGGCCGTTGGATCCATTGTGTTCATGATGGGACAGGGGCCCATTCTGAAACCACTTGGAGGTTTCAGCTGTCTTCTAGACAGCTGATGCCCCTGGCCTATGCGAGCAAAGCTGAGGTGAAGGACTTGCTCCAGCTCGCCGAAGGCGTGCAGGAGAGGTTCCCCATGCCTTGCAGGCCGAAACCGGGCGCTAGGTCGCTAGGTCGTCACTTGATGGCTTGGGGCGTCACCCCGCACATGAAGTTAGGAGGTGGATGCGGGTTGCAGATCTAGATGTACATTTGAAGTGTGCCGTTAGGCAGCATTGGTAATGCAGAGGATGCCACAATGATACTTATCATGACAGTCTTCATCCTTAGCACGATCATCATCGTCTCTTGTGAAGCAGTATTGGCAATGCAGAGGATGCTACGATGATAGTTATCATGACAGTCCTCATCCTTAGCATCATTATCATCGTCTCTTATGAAGCAGAATTGGTAATGCAGAGGATGCTACGATGATGTGTTCTTTCGCGCCAGATCTTCTTTCGCCCTCCCACAGCAAGGACTTCTTCCAAATACACAAAGGAGGGGTATTTATTTTAGGAATTTTTTTCGTTTTTTTTTTGGAATTTTTTTCGCTTTTGGCTTCTTGGCTTCTTGGCTTCTTGGCTTCTTGGCTTCTTGGCTTCTTGGCTTCTTGGCTTCTCGGCTTCTTGGCTTCTTGGCTTTTCGGCTTCTTGGCTTCTTGGCTTCTCGGCTTCTGGCTTCTTGGCTTCTTGGCTTCTTGGCTTCTTGGCTTCTTGGCTTCTTGGCTTTTCGGCTTCTTGGCTTCTCGGCTTCTGGGCTTCTAGGCTTTTCGGCTTTTTGCTGGTTTATGCGGCTTTTGGTGGCTTTTTGGCTTTTCGCATCCTCTGCATTCCCAGTTCCTCTTCGGCAGGTGGCGTTTTTCCGACATCATGGGGGGGGCTGCCGCCCCCCCCAACCCCCCCGCTACGTTTTAGATTTTCTGCAGAGATTTAATTAGTTGCACCCCTAGTTGAATCATCAATTCTTCGAACATCATGGGGGGGTTGCACCCCTAGTTGAATCATCAATTCTTCAACCATCATGGGGGGGGCTGCCGCCCCCCCCAACCCCCCCGCTACTTTTTAGACTTTTTGCAGAGATTTAATTGCACCCCTATTCAAATCATCACTTCTGGGATTGACATGCCCTCCTACTTGAATCATCATTTCTTTGACCCCGTCACACGATTTGTGGGTGATGCTAGGGATGTTGGTGGGACATGCGGGGTATATTTCGCGAGAACATGCTGTAAAATACGACACTTTACTGGCCCGGCAGAGATTGAATTGCACCCCTGTTTGAATCATCACTTTTTCGAGCATCCAATTTCGCGAGAAAATGCTGCAAAATACGACATTTTAGGTAATCTGTGTAGTCCGTGTATGTCTGTATGTATGCATTTCTTCGAACATCATAGGGGAAGCCACCCCCGCCAACCCTCCCGCTGCCTTGTAAATTCTATCACACCCTTTCTTGAATCATTGCACCCCTACTTGAATCACCACTTCTTCCGACCTCATGGGGGGGCTGCCGCCCCCCCCAACCCCCCCCGCTACGTTTAGATTTTCGACAGAGATTTAATTAATTGCACCCCTAGTTGAATCATCAATTCTTCGAGCATCAGGGGGGGGGCTGCCGCCCCCCCAACCCCCCGGCTACTTTTTAGACTTTTTGCAGAGATTTAATTGCACCCCTATTCAAATCATCACTTTTTCGAGCATCCAATTTCGCGAGAAAATGCTGCAAAATACGACATTTTAGGTAATCTGTGTAGTCCGTGTATGTCTGTATGTATGCATTTCTTCGAACATCATAGGGGAAGCCACCCCCGCCAACCCTCCCGCTGCCTTTTAAATTCTATCACACCCTTTCTTGAATCATTGCACCCCTACTTGAATCACCACTTCTTCCGACATCATGGGGGGGGCTGCCGCCCCCCCCCAACCCCCCCGCTACGTTTTAGATTTTCTACAGAGATTTAATTAATTGCACCCCTAATTGAATCATCAATTCTTCCAACCCCCCCGCTACTTTTTAGACTTTTTGCAGAGATTTAATTGCACCCCTGTTCGAATCATCACTACCCCGCTCTGTTTTTCTTAATGGTTTTTTTGTATTTTTTTTGCTGGGATTGAAATGCCCTCCTGTTTGAAGCATCATTGTTTTGACCCCGTCAACCCGCCAGCTACATTTTTGGATTTTGTTATCCACGTTTTGTTGGTGATGCTAGGGATGTTGGTCGGACATGCGGGGGATGTTGAAAACGATGCTGGGGATGTTGACGAGCTAGTGTAAAATGCGTCAATTTCGCGAGAACATGCTGTAAAATACGACATTTTGCTGGCCCGGACGAAAAACGAAAAAAAATCCCAAAACAAAACGAAAAAAAATCCCAAAATAAATCCGCACCCATACACAAATAAATGTACGTTTGGCGTGTAGCTAGTTGACGTACACACACACACACCCCTGTATCCCAACTACACAAAATGAAGCACATACGATATGTGCATGGCACTGATTTGCACGTGTGCGCACACATGTTCATTGGGCACGCGCTTATGCATTTGACAGTACATACAAGGCATCCGTCCGTCCGTGCATCCGCCCATCCATATTTGTTTATTATTTAGGGCTTGCCTGCCTTCTTTTGCGCGGGTGGGTGCAGAAACGAAAGAAAAAAGAAACAGAGACAGAAGTAGAGAGAGGCTTACCGACTCGGCAACATCTACCCCGAATTCTGGGGAACGTTCACCCCCAAGTTGGTGGTAAGCTGTCAGTAAATCAGGGGGACATTTGGGGTAATTTACCCCCAATTTTGAAGACCCCCAATTTTGAAGGAAATTGAGGGTAAAGAACGGTCCAACAATTTGGGTTAAATCTTTGTATACCGTGCGTAAACCTGGGATTTACACTAATCTTTGGACTCGCTATTTACGCCAAATTTCCACCAAAGTTGGGGGTAAATTACCCCCAAAATTGGGGGGGGGGGGGTAAATTACACACAAAATGGGGGGGGTAAATTACCCAAGTGGGGGTTACACACAACATGTGGGGTAAATCACCCACAAAGTGTGGGGGTAAACTTCCCACAAAATTGGGGGTAGATTACAAACAAAATTGGGGAGTAAATTACCACAAAATTGGGAGTCTAAATCACCCACAAAACGAGTCATTGTTACAGGCAAGGCTTAATTTGTTATTATATTATGTGTATATATATATATATTAATATATATATATAATAGATATACATATCTGTGTATGCACATGTGTGCCCTCACATCTGTGTCTATCTAGATATGCATACATGTGAGTTCATGTCTACAGGTACATATGCGTGAGTTTGTGACATTGTGCATATCAGTGTATGATTAGTTTTTATGATCGCGTTTGAGCCGTGTTCTGACGTTGGGTGTTGGACAACTTGCAGGCGCATGTGCCCAGATTTTGCAGTGTGACTGAGAGTGGAAGGGCGACGAGATGCAGTATCGCAGTTCTTGTCCTGGTTACGGGGTATCTCAATATCCGCGAGCCAGCCTGGCACTCAGATTGAGGAACCACAAGCAAACAATTTGGGCGCCAAGCTGTTCGAGTGTCTGAGGCTAAGAAGTTCATAGAGCAGTGTGAGGGAATCGCTCCAGCCGGCCTTGCTTTCTTGGTCGGTTGATGTGATGTAAAACTTGCACATCTTGAATCTCTTGCCAGCACATGGGTCATCCATCAATCGTCTTCAAAAGCCGCCAGGCCTGTTTTCGGGTTTCCCAAAGCGGGCATCAAGAAACAGAGATGTTCGCAGGGGCTGATCACAGACTACTTGGACGGCTACAAGTGGCTCAAGGTTCGATGGCCGTCAGGGTGCGATGGCGGTCCCGGGTTTCAGCTTTGAGGCAAACACGCCCCAAGACGCGCGCGTGATGGCTTGGTGGGACTACGGTTATCAGATCACTGGCATCGGCGCGGGCCGAAAGCGAGCTTCAAGAGTTGGCAGAGAATCACGGCTACCCAGGAAATCGCACATCTATCGCCGACGGCAACACGTGGAATCATGAGCACATTGCTACCTTGGGTCGTTTTTGACTGAGTTGGCAGATGGTGCGCTTGTTTTATTTCACTCTTGCAGCATTGCCAACTGCACATCGCGGTTGGCCTGAGGAACTTTAACGAATCCTGAAAGGAAAGCGCATAACATCATGCCTGGCACTGAGCTGACTCCAGAGCTGGCCCTGCAGCTGTGCAAGCTGAGGAAGCATCTTGCGGACTATGTTTTGGCGGGCGTGTTTGGAGCAGCGTGTGGAGCATTTCAGCACCCCGCAGGTTTGGGCTGGAGGGCATGGCGACGACATGGGCAAGTCGCCGCATCTTGTTAGGGCCTTGGGGGCAAAGGTGCCCTTCCCCACGTCATTTCCACGTGGATTTGGATGCGAGGCTCGCATCGCCAACTCCGTGTTCCCAGATGCCAAAGACTTAGCTTCGACCTTGGGGGCTGCTCCCACAGCTTGGGCCGGGTTAGGTGTGTGGCGAGGATGACCCAACCTGCAGGCACGTGCCGACCAAGCTATGCGATTCTTCGTTGCCGCCGCAGGAAGTTTGGCTTCTACTCTGGGGGCAAGCCAACAGACATGATGGCCGCTTCCTTCTTGTACAAGGCACGCAGCGGAACGAAACCTTCGCCATTAACCTTCGCCATCTTCTTCCTGTGAAGCTCGACGCAGGCCGTAAAGCACAATCTGGAGGATGGAGTGAAACTGGATCCCAAGCTATTTAAAGAGGCGCGTAAGGGATGTGCAAGCGACAACAATCATGCCAGTCATTTAGTCCCTCAGGTGCATACTACCAAGTTCGGCTTGATGCGCATTTTCAAGGCTGCCTGAATTTCGTATCTCAAGTTGAGACCGTCCCCTTTATCAGGTCTTGAACGTGTCAGAGGAGTCCAAGGCCCGAACGTGCCAGGCTATTAGGATGTGACTTGGTCTTGCCGACTTCCGAAGCCAAGCGCGCCTTGCGCAGAACTGGGTGGCGGATCCTTCCAACCGGAAGTGCGATGCCCCGGGAAGTTGGTATTGTGTTGGTCCAGAGCTGAGTCGTGGCTTTGCAAGGGACCCTGCAAAGGGCCGACTCATGAGGCAAGGAGTTGCCAACTAACAAGCGTGCATTGACAAACGAAAGATGCACTTTGCGGCAAGCGCTGAACCCCAATTGGTTGCAGGCATCGTATATATGCTAGATTCTCGTAGTACATGCCGCTGTCAAAAGTGACACTGTAGAGGAAGTTGAAGCCATATCAACAATGTGGCAACCGCCGTGGAAACGGTACTCGCAAAACAGGTGTCTCGCCCGCAGGGTTGGCACTTTAGGCTTGAGGGGGCTAATGTCAATCGTCATGATACGGGTGGCGGTGGTGCTAGCACAGATATCAGTAGTTGGTCGCTGGTAGCCTGTTCTTGGTAGGGAGTAACTTAGCCAGCAGCTACATACTGCCAGTAGCAGCAGCAGAAGCAGCAGTAGCAATAGTGCCGACCCCTTATGAATCAACAAGCTAGAAGTAGTAGCAGCAGCAGCAACAGTAGTGGCAGTAGCCGTAGTAGTCGTAGTAGTAGTGGTGGTAGCAGCAGCAGCAGCGACAGTAGTGGCAGTAGTCGTAGTAGTCGTAGTAGTCGTAGTAGTAGTGGTGGTAGCCGCAGCAGCAGTAGTCGCAGTAGTAGTAGTAGTAGTAGTAGTAGTAGTAGTAGTAGTCGCCGCAGTAGTAGTAGTAGTACTAGAAGTAGTCGCCGCAGTAGTAGTAGTAGTAGTAGTAGTAGTAGTAGTAGCCGTCGCCGTAGCAGTAGTAGTGGTAGTGGTGGACGCATGTTACATAGTAATATGTAGCTTGGGTGCTCATAGGAATACAAATGTGTGTGCGCTGTGGAATTGAACAGTCCATCAATGAATCCAGGAATCCAGTTTCGAGGTAGCAAAAGGCGGCTCATGGTCCGAATAGTTCGGATTACTGACCGGCTCTCTCGGGGGGGCTGAGCTCTTGTGCCAACGGGCTCATGCCTTTAGTCTCATTTGTTCAACGGCGCTTGCTGGTGCATTTGCTTGTCTCGTCACTGGCTTCATCATTGAGAGCAAAATGGGATGAGCAACAAACATCTATATGAGCATTTGTCAGAGGCAACACGGCAAAGGTGTCGAACAAATACACAGCTGCTCCCAGACGGCATTTCTTGGGGCCGAATTGCATGTGCGCAATCCCTAGCTCAGGCCAGTACCCTCCAGCATTAAGCAAGCTCATTGCCAAGCGGAAAAACTTTGCGCAGCTGGAGGAGGGGTTTGCCTAGGCATTTCGTGCATCTACATGTACCCTCTTTCCAGCAAAGATGGAAGTGGACAGCGTCGTCCCCCAAAAGGAAAGTCTTTCAAAACCCTCCTCTCAGCTTCAATGATTGGAGGGAGGGTATCAAGGATGTTTTGTAGCCGCAGCATGCAACAGATCCTCGTGAGGATTTCAACCGGAAGGATGGAGAGAAGAGTGCCTATACTCGAATGGTGCCCTGGCAGTATGCTGCTCGTTTGGCCGCTGCAAGTGTCCCACGGTGTCGTTTTTTTGGGGGCGCCTTGTGGTTGGGTACGCCAATTGGCAGTTGACCATTTCGCCCCTGTTGAGACACCCATGGTTCGTGACTGTGGCGTTCTGGCTTCAGCTGGGCACCAGTGAAACAGAACAACGGCACCGCACACCGCATGACACACGCAACCACACACCTGGAGCATCGCTTTCCGTTTCCACCATGGCCATCACGCGCAAGCTCTCCAAGCGCAACTTGTCGCAAGGGCTCGGCTTCAAGGTTCCCTTTCAGAACCCTAGGCGATGGTCCAAGCAGGCTTTGGGCTTGACAGCACATTGCACATTGGTCGTTTGGTGTGGCCTTGGCTCACATTGCTGCTTTGCAATGGGTTTGCTCGTGAGTTTGGTGCTTGTTGTGCGTGTTGATGCGTTGCGAAGCTCAAGCATCCAATTGATTGTTGGAGCAATGCAAAGATATGGGAGCCTGTTTGACCTGCTTGTGCCAAGCTTAGCAATCAGACGGCAATCGACAATGTCCTTTGTCAGGGTTTGGAATGATGAAGCATGTGGCAGATTCAGCGTTTCATGTGATCTCTGCCCGCGCAGGCAATTCTCGGGCTCTGTTTGGCCTGGTGCGGAGCCAGCTTAGACCAGCTGGCACGGCCAAGGGGCTCAATGTTGAGGTGGTCGAGGTCCGCCGCAGGGTGCCTTGGCTGCTGATGCTTTTGATGCCTGCGGGTGCTGGCGCTGTGGGCGCTTACGCATGGAGGATGCAGCAGCAGGAGCAGGAAGCGCAGCGATTGAAGGCCGAGGCTGAAGCCAAAGCCCAAGCGTTGGCCAAAGCCAAAGAAGCTGAAGCTGCACGGGCAGAGGAACTCCGAGTTCAGCGTGAGCAGGAGGCTGCGGAGGCTGCTCGCAAAGAGCGCGAAGCAGAAGAGGCCCGGGAAGCGGAAGAAAAGAGGCAAGCAGCGCTTGCATTTCTGGAATCCGCTTGCTTAGAGTGCACCCAGCTTTTGGGTAGAGTGGCCAGTGTGGAAGACGCTGCTGAGTACTTCGCGGCATTTGATGCAGACAAGGATGAGCTCCGCGAGTTGCTGGCAGACGTGCAAACTTTTTCTCAAGGAGATGCTTTTCAAGTGCTTCAGGGGTCAAGTGAAGTGGAAAAGTCCCACTTGGCGAGCCAGCTGCAAAGCAAGCTGTCGTTTCTGCGGCTCTTCCTGGAAAGGTTGCAGCGGGCAGAGGTTGCGGAGGAGAAGTTTGATAAGTCAGCAGCTGTGATCAAGCAGGAGCGGCAGCGATGGCTGGCCGGGAAAAGTGCCGATCTGGGCAGCATGCAGGATGCGTTGGTTCAGGCGGAGGCTGCCTTGGCTGAGCTGCAAGAAACTGGCCTGGACCCGAGGGCGGGGGAGGAGGTGGTTGAGGCTGGCAGGTCCACCTTGCGGGAAGAGGAGGAAGCGGCCAGGAAGCTGCGCCAGCAGGAGGCCGCCAGGAGCGACTTGGAGGCGGATTCTCGCCCCAATGCATAAGCAAGGGCCACTCGCGGAAATGGCGCAAAGCGGAGTTCCGGAAATTTGGGGAAATGGCGTATGGCGGAGAAAAGTGTTCCACCAAAAAATAACTCGCATATGGCAATGGGCGGGGATTATGGCCCCGGCTCCAGCAGGCTACCATGGGGAATCTGGATGGCCCCAGCTGCGCCGCAGCGCTGCAGGGTGCTCGCGCCGCCGGCTGCGGGCCGCTGGCTGCGGCCTGGGTGGCGGAAGCTGCCACCCTCGAGGTGTCGGTGCAGCTGCCCCACGACTGCCCGCCCCAGCCGACTTCGCAGGCGGAAGGACACAGCCGGTGACACATGTTCAAATTCAAGCTTTTGGTGAACGGTTTGCCCAAACTGTTGAGATATGGGGTTGCCCATCCAAACCAGCCCCGTCCGAGCCCTTAGGTGGATGACTTTGCAAAGGCGGCGGCCGCCGCCGCCGCTTGCATGAGCGAGTCTCAGCTCCAGGAGCATGTGGCGCACCTGGCCCAGACATTGGTGAGACACCACGTGCAGGAAAGGCTGGAGTTGCTCTCCTCGTGGCAAGCCTTGGCGCCAAGCCGGGAGGGCCACCGCAAGGAGCAGGCCGCCAAGGCCCAAGCCGAGTTCGGTGAAAGCAAAGAGCAGAACAAGCAGAAGGAAAAGGAAGCGCTGAAGGCCCTAGCTGCGCGACATCTCCAAGAAGCCGTCGAGGAGGCGGTCAAGGAGGTGCACGAGCAATCGGAGAGAAGCAAGTATGATCTCCACTGCTCAGCAATGCTGAACTTGCAAGAGGAGCAAGAGGGCCAGATCGCAGCCTTTGAGAGCCTGGTCTCTCATCTTCACAGATTCCCCGAGCGTTTATCGTCCCAGGTGACTGCAGCCAGCAGTCCGCAGCATTTGGTGGAAGCGGCGAGCGCTTCAACAGTGGCCACCTTTACCATGCAGGATGGATTTCAGCGGGGCATGGATGCTGACCAGGCGCGGCGGCTTTCGAAGACCAGCGACGGCTTTGTGGCAAACGTCCTGGGGAAGTTTGCGGCTCAACTTGCGAACGCCCGCGTTTGCACCACCGAGGAGCTCCAGGGAGCCTTCCAGCGCCAGTTGCCTGATCTCATGGCAGCAGCCTTTGAGCCGAGCAGTGGCTTTGCAAGCGCGCTGCTTGGCCGCGTCTTTGGGGGCCTCTATAGGCTCAAAGGCGAGCAGCGAGAGATGTCTCTGCAAGCGGCCCTCGCGTCCAAGTTGGGAGTTGACAAGCTAGGGCTCGAGGAGTCAGTGGAGAAGCAGAACCTGAGGGCCCTGGCGGAAGCCTTGGCGCTCGTTGAGGCCGGTGTCCTTAGGCATCCTGTTGTTTTCGCTGGTTCACATGTCACCTGTCGGTTGCCTATGTGAGTTGAATTCCTCGTTAGGGTGGTGTTTCGGACGGTGTTTCAGACAAAGAGAGAAAGAAATAAAAGAAAGGAGAAGGAAAAGGAGAAAGGACAAGGAAAAGAAAAGGGAAACAGAAAAAGCAAGGAAGGGAAGGGAAGGGAAGGGAAGGGAAGGGAAGGGAAGGGAAGGGAAGGGAAGGGAAGGGAAGGGATGGGAAGGGAAGGGAAGGGAAGGGAAGGGAAGGGAAGGGAAGGAAGGAAGGAAGGAAGAGATATTTAGAGGCTGGTGTTTAAGAGGGGTGGGCAAAAAGCCCTGTGGAGGCCGGAGAGCTGCGGAGGGCCTTGGCGGCTCTTGACACCTTGGCAGGGCGCTGCCGATCGCGGGCGGAGGGCTGGATGAAGTTGGCTCGCCAGACTCTGCTGTTGCAGCAGGCCTCTGATGCAGTGCTGGCGCGAACACTCTGCTTGAGCACGGGTCTGTCGGAATAACTTGGAAGAGGCATGCTCGCCCTTATGGACTCATAGCCGCGAGAAAACGGCCGCCATCTATGCAGCACTGCTCTGCCAGTGCCTGAGTGGGTCGTGAGCTGTGAGAGTTCAGGTGGAGGAGAAGATGAAGCAGGAAGAAGCCGGCTGGGACGACCATATCTGAGCCAAATATTATGAGGTTGCCAGAAGTATCTGGGACTAGCAGAAAGACCATGTCAAGTCTGGAGAAAACCACGTGATCACTACCACTGGGTGGGGAGGAGAAGCCACCACAGTGAGTAGGAACCTCGTTGTTTCTGTTTTGTTTTTGCGGGCGGAGGGGGGTAGCAAATGTAGTTTGCATTTGCTTACCCCTCCACTGGCCCCTCCGAGCATAGCAATTTCCATCCAAACACCTGAACATGTAAGCTACAACTCTAAGACAGCATGTCTCCTTTGCAACACCTCTGCAAACCCGAACAACGTAATATTGCAATTTGCAGATCCTCGTGAACAAAATGTAATCTTGCCTTTTGAGGTACATGTGGCAAGATGTAATCTACAGTTTCAGACGTCCGCACTCCGGGGGTGCCTCCAGCTTTTCCTCGGCCGGATCTCCTCACACCGTTTGGCTCTGGACAGTGCATGTGGTAGTCAGGGCAGGAAAGTATTTTTTGTTATAGGCGGCGAACTGCAACCAGGGCAAAGAGCAGACCCGAGTTTAGCAGCAAAGACTCAGACAAAAGTTGTGCACACGCCATGGGGGTGATTGGCGTTGGCCGTGTCATGATCACAAGCCAAGCGCTATGGTGCACCTACACAGGCCGACACAGGCCCGGACGAACCAGCATGTATCAAGAATCGCGATTGATGTAGGCATCACTGAAGCCTGAAACCCTTTGAACACTGAAACTTTGTACGTCTGAGCAGTCACTTGAGGCCCTGCTTGTCATCTTTTGCGGTGGCTCGGTTGCATGCGGCGTGCAATGGCGTGACTCAGACCCAAGATTCTGACATCAACTCAGGTGCGAGGCATTCTTTTGCAGACGAGCCAGAGAAAACACCTCCGACGCTGGGCCTGAAAATGAAGCACCCAGTTTTGCATTTGCACACCAGCAGCCCGCAAGCGCATAGTTGATTGCAAGGTTTGTCCTTGATTTCGTTTGTCTTTGCCGGAGCATGGGTGAAGTGTTCGGTGACAGAGTGCGGCGCTGCCAGGAAAGGAAGCGTAAAAGCTTGCAGGGCTCCAAAGTTGTGCAGTTCATTCGGTCTTGTTTTCCGGGGCCGCGCTGAGGCCAGGATACCCCGGGCTGGTCCAATGGTTGGTCTGGTTGTGCATGGCTTTCCGGTGGCCAGGACAGCTGGGTGCTTCTTTTTTTCCGGCCGAAACTGTGAGGATACCCCGTCAGGATCCCGCGTTGTGCAGACCCACGGTGAATGCCAGCTGGCCATCCACATCAGGACCGCTTTAGGCGCCTGGCCTGGTCTTGAGGGCCTAAAGCTGAGGCTGGACCTGCGAGTACTACCGGCAGCAGGGCTTATGTGGCAAGCTGAACGGCGAGGTCAAGGAAATCCGACAGTCTGCAAGGCCCCCGCATTCATCCAGTCGGAACGCACTCTCCCAGTGTGGCAGGGGGCCCTTTCACAACTGGCCCGAAAAGAATTGCTGTGGCTGTGAAGCCCAGGCAGGAGAGTTCTTTTGACCAGAGATGGAAGAAGCATGCAAAGCTCAGCAGAATAATTCCACGACCTGACAGGATGAGACCACTTGCAACCGGCAGACGGGCAAGCAATGCACGCTGGACTTTGGCTTTTGTGGTGCTTCTCAAGGGCCTGCTTACTGCTCGGCGCCCGAAAATTGGCTCTCAAACTGTTTGCCGCTGGTGCGCCATTTGAGGCCACAACTTGTCCACCTGTCTCTGCCTCCCGGGCCACTGCGCGTCCACAGATGGAATTTGCTCCCTGCAAACTGCACTGCAGGCAATCTCAGTGTGAACTGGCCGCCAACGTGACTGCTTCATGGTATCACTGGCAGGTAACAAACACATCAGCGAACGCGCCCAGAACCTGCCGTGACACGCCGGATTGGTCCAACGGCTTCCTGACGGCACGAAAGCACAACCTCCAGAGGCGTTCAAGCGGACGGGTGACATGAGTGTTTTGTACAGGGTTTGTCTCAAAATGGGAGACCCTGACAATTGGAGGTTTTCCCCTTTGTTCACCTTAAAGCCGCCGTTAAAAAATGATTCCCTCAACAAAAAGAGACGTCCGTATGGCGGCCAGTGAGCCAAGGTTGGTCGGGCTGTGCCTATGAGGAGGGTGGCCGAAACTCTGCCTGGTGCAAGTTGACGCCTGGAGCAGCGTGGCCATCCACAAGCGGTTGCTTGGCAAACCCTAGGGCCCTAGGGGAGAGAAAACAGGGGACCCTGCATGGACAGGGGGAAACCCCTTCAAAAGTTGCAATTTATTGAAGGTTTCCCTTGAAGCTGCCCCTTTTGGAGGTTCCAAAAGAAAATGGAGGACACCCTGACGGATCCTATCAGACCTGGCCCTTAGCAAATTCCCAGTTCCAGTGCTTCAGGTTGGACCTGCCAGTACCTTGGCAGCCGTGGTTGGCCGTGTGTGCTTGCAGCTTGCGGCTTTTGCGGGGGGCAACTTGGAAGGTACTACCGTGCACAAGGCCTTTGCAGTGCCGGGACTGTCGCCAGTTGGGTCGTGGCCCCAGAAAAGGAAGGACATTTCTAGCAATACCGATGGAAATGCGAGTTCGCCATTTCGTACTTCCTGTCGGGTTGCAGTTTCCGCTAAAGCACTTGTGCACCTATGCTGCAACAGGCCAAGGGGGCGCTCCACAACTACCCAGAGTACAACTGCTGCTTGGCGAAAGCGAGCCTTCGGCGTTCTATTGCAGTGTGCCTGCAGCTGCTGCAGGCTGTGGCTGTGGGGCGTTGCACAATACAACGTGCAACAGGACGGGCTGCAAGGGTTGGGCCAGGTGTTAGCCACGCGTCGGAGGAACACGGGTGGCAGCTGTGCCCTGGGTTGGTGCGACCAATCCCGTGGGCCTACAGCTGCTTGTCTCAACAGAGCTGACTCTCCAGCTGCCGTGCGTAAAACTTGCAGCCACACAAGGCTGGAGGGACAAGTTTTCAGAAGTTTCGAGGGGTGTCTTTGCCCAGGCAAGTGCAGGCGGGGAGGCAGGCTAGCCAGTTTGGGGCATGTGTCCACTGACAGTCTTTAAGGATGACCCCACCATTCAAATCCGCCACGTGCCTCACCCTTCGGTAAACATGTAGATTGGGGTGTGAATCAAAGAAGGCCTTCAACTGTGGGTGCAGCTCACCAGCTCGCCTCACCGAGGTCTGTTTGAATGGCAGATGCATTTGTCAAGAAGGCCACTGTGGCACGACGCAGGGCACCTGTTCCCTTTCTGCGCCTGGCTTAGTGAGCACGGGGGATTGGGGGGGGTGGCACCAACGAAAATGAAATGCCCTCACCCCATGCAACGATTCGACTACTTCGACATTCAGGGACTGGCCAGCTGAGGTGGACTCCTACAATGCCTTGACGCCTGAAGCCCTCGACCACGCAACTGGGCAAGCTACTGAAGCTGGGAATCTGGACGGCATTCAAGTCGCGTGGCTTGTGATTCCGATCTCGGAAGCCGGTAGCCGGTGATGGCTTGAGGATCTCAGCGGCGGAAGCTGCAAAATCTGCCGGGAAGAATGCTGCTGGAGAGGTGGAGGCAGCAGCACTTGCGGCAGGCGGAGCTGCTCGCACCAGCTGCCATACAGCTGCGGAATGCCATGGCGCATCCTAGAGTCTACGGCCATTTCATCTAGGATGATGAGAAGCCTGCATTGCTAAGCCTTTGGTGAACGAGTGCGCACGCCATTTCGGGAGTTCTGTTTTGATTGGGGGTAAGAACGCTTTTGCAGGCTGCAGGCCCTGTTCTCACCCCCCAAGAGTTCAGCGGCGGAGGTTCTCGTTTCTGCCATGCACAGGTCAAGCAGCCTTGCGCGCCGGCTTGCCGCTGGATCGTGCCGCTGAGGCGCGCCGTTTCTGGACTTTGGCCGATGTCATATTCAAGCACTGCTCTGGAGCACTGCTGTCCCACTTTTGGCCTTTCGGGTGAACACGCCAGCCGACTTTCAATCCACCAGGCTCGATGCGGGTTACTTACACTTGCAAGGCGGCCGCTGATGCAGCAGGCGAAGCTGCCTCGGAAGCCAAGGCGACTCCTCAGCAAGCTGCAGATGCAGCCTCCAACTGGGCACGGGCCTCGGCGCTTGAATAGAACCTGCATGCACATGGGCACATGCAGAAGACGAGGTGAGAAAGCAAATGGCTGCGGCTGGGAAGATGCAGAACGATCAGGCGTGCACCGTTGAGCGGTTTGCATTTGATGTGGGTGACGAGACGGCACTGGGCCTGGTTAGCTCCTTGTTCCATGTTCAAATCAAGCAAACAATAGGCAAGCCACACCATTCCCGCAGCATCGAGCAACAATTTCTGCAAGTGCCAGGCAAGCGCCTCTGCCAAGGCTGCCGCCCGGGCGGCGAGCAAGGCACAGGTGAGGGACTCGGACGTTAGCTTGTGACAACCCGTGCCAGGCTTCGTCCGCCATCTTTTTGACAAAGCCACTTGGAAGTAGACTTTGCCCGTCCAGCCCGCCAAATCCGTTCACTGGATAATTACGGTTTACCCTCGAGCTAAGTGGGCTGGGATGGGCTGAGGCAACAGGGCGCCTATGCCGCCGAAGCTGCGGCAGTAAAGGCTGCCCTGGAGTCTGGCCTGTCCATGCAGCAGGACGGCCAAGGGATTTGCAGTGGCCCCCAAAGAAGATCTGCAGTCGGTGTTCAATCGCTTGTTGTATTGCAGAACGCTCAAATCGACAGCAATCACCTCAGTTCCCTGATTAGGCTGAGTCTATGGCTGCTGCTGCGGTTGCGCCCAGCGGCAAGACTGGCATCAAGGGAAGAGGTGCCTGCGGTTGGAACACTTGCTCCCCAGCTCATGCGTGCTCAAAGCGTGCGTTGAACGCCCCTGTCAGATGTGGCCAGCAGCTTTGGCCGCCCAGCTGCAGTGAACGGCCTTGAGGGACACCCCCCCTTCTACGATCAAGGGATCCTTGCAAGGACATATGCTGTGGAGGACCGTAGCTTTGGAGGTGTGTGTGCCCGCGAAAGATCCACAAAGGAGTCTGTGAAAGAGGTGTGTTTCTTTTCTTTTTTTCGCGAAGGATTTAGCAAAAGCTTCTTGGAGGCATGCTTGTACGCTTACATGTTTGCAGACCCCACTCCCTTGTAGACAGGGAGGTGCGCAGCACCTTTCCTTGCCTTGATTCCCTGGGCTGTTTTGCAGCAAGTTTCGCGAAAGACCAGCGAAAGTGTGTGGAGCTTGTTGCAAGCGCAAGAGGGGAGAACAAATGATAGTGACTGCGTGCCTGCCAGCGCAAGTGGCCGGTGTAGCTTTCGGCTTCGCAAGCGCAACTGCGGCGGCAAGAATGGCGCCGCAAAAAGCGGCGGTGAAGCCGCGAAAGGTACGCAAAATACATTTTTGTCCCACGAAGACTCTCGTTCTCGGCACTTGATCAGCCACCACATACACAGATACATACATACATACATACATACATACATACATACATACATACATACATACATACATACATACATACATACATACATACATACATACATACATACACACATACACACATACACACATACACACATACACACATACACACATACGCGCACACACACATACATACATACATACATACATACACCCACGCATATACCTACACATACGCCTATGCATATACGAACATATCAACATACTATTTATATATATATATGGATGTATGTCTATGCACATACACATGTACATACAAATGTATGCACATGTTACAGACTCGCCCAGGCCCCCAGATGATCCAGGACGCTGCCGGGCCTGGGGGCAACAACCCGTTGTTGCAGCATCATGGCAGAATGCTGGGGAAAGCATATGTGATTTGGCCAACTCGTGAAGTGTATATGCTTGGATGGTACCGGTACCCTGGTCGAGGATTGGACTCAACGGCCTCTACTTGCCACTTGCCACTCGGACGGTTGCACTGAGCCAAGGCTATTCAACCTCCCAATGCTCCTCGTTCTCTGCGTGAGCGTATCCGTGGCTTGCTGCTTCTACTGCCGCAAGGGTGCCCTGGAAACCAAAATAAGTTTTCATGAAGGGCACCGTTTTGTTCCCCGCGAGCATGGAATTCGGAAGGCGACAAGGCTCGACATCGGCACTTCACAGATGAAAGCTCACAGGCGTGGTTCAGCAAAGCTTTTTGCTTCGCTTGCGCCCCTGGTCAGGGCAACTGGGGCTCGGATGAGAGCGACGCGGAATAATGCGGATATTCCAAGGCTGAGTGAGGGATGAATCCTAATCTCTGGGGAGAATTCGGTATGGTTGCAGCAAGAGAAGATTGCCGAAGATTACAAAGGAAAACATGTTCTGTGTGAACCTATATGCCAGTGTCACGATTGTTTTCCTTCATTGGGTTCCCGTGTGCAGAGAGAGAGAGAGAGAGAGAGAGAGAGAGAGAGAGAGAGAGAGAGAGAGAGAGAGAGAGAGAGAGAGAGAGAGAGAGAGAGAGAGAGAGAGAGAGAGAGAGAGAGTGAAAGC